ACGAGCAATGACTAAGTCGGACAAGCGAACCGAGCTCAGGTGACAGACGCTAGTCCGAGTAATGCTCCGAGCAATAGTTTGTCGATTTTGAAACAAGAACCAATTCCGAGAATGACAAATCTCTAATGGATCCTCCAAATTTAAAAACTAAAACGAACGCTTGCTGAGCTAAAACCCTAAACTCAATGAAAATTATGCAAAGGAAAATTTTCAGACGAGATCTAAGGGTTCGAAGTTAAAAACATGGGTTACTTCGGAAGCGAACGAACTCTGATAACCCCTAACTAGATTCAACGACCACGAGGCAAGTTCTCGTCTTGAAGCATTGAACTGGATTCGAAATATGCAACGAAAATCACGCTAAGGCAGATTTATAAAAAAAGGGGGAATATTAGAATCCATTGAAAAACAAAGCCTCTGTGGCGAACACCAAAATAAAGTCAGAAGAAAACCCCTCCGTAAGGGTACAACAACGGAATTAAAAGAAAGAACAACAACTCCACAAGCGGAGGGAAAGGATTGTACGAAGTAAGAAAAGGAGGCGTCGCCGCAAGGCAGGTTACTCTTTGGATACCTCGACATCATCGTCACCGCGGGAGTCCGTCTCGAGAAGCATTCGTCGACGATGCCGGGTGGCTCGACGCTCGCTGACTGGTGCCTTGGTTCTCATCCGTCAACGGCGGATTGGGTCTCGCCTTGTCACTCTCAACGGACTTGCCTTGGTCAGAACCATTGAGACTCGATATCTCTATCTCATCCGAAGGGTCGGGAACGCGCCAACCACCAACCGTAGGGTCGAGTTCCTCCATGTTCGACCCATTCGGGTCAAACCTATCGACGACATTCCTGTTGTAACCAGCCATCATATAAGGAAAGATCGTGTCGTTGAAGTACCTGGAGGACAGAACCAACAGCGAGTGACTGTAGTTGTTCAGATTGGGAGACCCGGGATACAGCTTTTCAGCTTCCGCCTTACGAACCCTCTGCTCTTCCTTGAACTCATGTATTTTGTCCTGCGGAATGGCCACCCCTTCGTCTCTCATCGTCTCCAGACACTTCCGCGTCCCGAAGGCCTGAACCCAGAAGCCCCGCGGGTCGTCGTACGCGTCAACTTTTGCGTCGTGAACTTTGAGACGCTCAAACGGGCCTCCGCCTTCTTAGTCATCGCGTGCAGAGTCTTCGCTCGCTCACACGTGACCTCCAAAACTCGGCTCCCTCTCAAATGGGAGGCCTCACAGTCAGCATCCTGGGTAATCTTCTCCACCTTTGCCTCGAGCTCAGCCTTCTCCTTCTCGAGTTCAGCATACGCGGCCTTAGCAACCCTCAACTCTTCGGAAACACTCTCGAGATCCTTGGCCCGAGTCTCAGCCAAGCCAACCGCTTCTGCCCGCGCGAGCTCTACTTCCGCAAGTGAAGCTTCGAGTGAGACGGAGCGTTCGCGCTCGTGATCGACTGCGTTCTGTACCTCTCCGAGACTGACGTACGTTGCCTTCAGCTCGCTATCGTACTTTTCGACCAAAGCGTTCACGCCTTCGTCAGCCTGGAACGAAGCACATATCAGCATAAGTATGAAAAAGCACAATTGCCGTGTCTAAAGAAGGGAGATAAAAACGACTTACCGCCTCCTTGAGACGAGCTACGTTCAGGTAGGCGACGCGAAAAGTTAACTGGTCAAAACCCGGAAGAATCCTCGGGTCGCGAGCGTGAGCTGGATCAGCCGACGGGCCAGTTCCCGCGTCGGAAAGGGCTACCTTCTTCGTTGTCTTCTTCTTTTTGCCCGCCTTTTTCTCCTTCTTCTTGGAACCTTCAGCGGGAACCATATCCTTTTCAGGCGAGACATCCTCGTTTGAAGGATTCGGAGCAGTTTGTTCTTGCTCCCCTTCAACCCTTTCCTCAGAGAGATCGCCAGCGTCTTTGTCATCTCGAGCCCCCGAATCCTCCTTGGAAGCAGACCCATGACCCGCGGGATTAGAGCTCTTCTTCTTCTTCTTCTTCTTCTTCTTCTTCTTCTTCTTCTTCTTCTTCTTCTTCTTCTTCTTCTTCTTCTTCTTCTTCTTCTTCTTCTTCTTCGTGGGAGGATCCACGGACGGGCTACCGCCGCTCGGATCCACTTGGACTTCAGTGTCCGCAGCCCGTGGCGTTTTCGAACCCCCCACAGACGGTTCGGGCATGTCCGAAGCAACGATCTCTGGAAGTGAGAGAGTTGCATCGCCTGAAAGATCCCCTCCTCCCAAGTCGAAACTATCGATCACATTCATCAGTTGAGTCCCTTGCGGTGCCCCTCCTCGCTTCTTCTTCATCGCTTGGGAAATATCGACAGGCTCTTTCATCGCTAACGCTTCCTTAACTGCCTGCTGCTCTTCTGCCGTATAGAGGTTGGATCTTTTCTTTCCGGTTCTAACCTTGCACCCAACGTCCTTCACAGTCAGCTGCCAGAATAAAATGGCATTAAGTGACGCGCATATTTAAAGAGAAAAAGGGAGGGGAGAAGGAAGGCGAGCAAGAGAAAGTCCTCGATACCTTGATTGATACGATCTATCCAGCGTTGGATCCTCTCCTCACTAATGTCAGGCCACAACTGAGGACCTAATTTGACTAGAGCTCGAGCAGTGGATAGGAACGAAGGCGGAACGGCGGCGTCGGTCAAATAATAGTTAGGATGCGGCTCTGCACAACAAGAGAAAACAGTTAGAACAAACAAAAATCGACAGCAGTCAAGACGAGCTAACTACCTGCTACACTGTTCCAATAAGTCCTAATGTCGTCGTTAAGAGGATCGACAAAGGCAAACTGGTCGGACTTGACATAGAAGTAGGAACGCTGCCACTTCGGGGTCTTGTCGGGGTGACTAGTGATGATATTGTAGTTCTGTCTCATCCGGATCGAGAACAGACCGTGATTCAAGCGAGATATGGCCGTCAACTGTTCAAACGCGTAGACGCATAACGAAACATCAATTTCAGCAGCCATGACCATAAGGGCAACTGTAATCCGAAAGGCCCCATTCACCATCTGACTTAAGGCGAGATCTCGACGCGAAACGTACGATGTCACGAGGCGAGGCAGCGGAAACCAAAGCTTGGTATCACCTTCGAAGTACGATTCGTAGACGCATTGATACCCGACCGGAGGCTACCACAGGCGTTGCTCTGCAGTCGGAATCAAATACGTAACACCCACAGCATTGCGAGCTATGAGTAAAGCTTCTACCGACTTCGCGGTCGAATGTGTCTTCTCGGTTTTTGCCCAAAACTGAGTCCCAGCGCGACGAAGTTTATCCCCGGGAAGCGCAGTTTCCCGTTCAAAGACCCCCATGCCACTATAGTGTGTAGGGACCTTCAGGCGGATATCTTCTTCTTCCGGCTCCGCGTTAGCTCGATTAGCTCGCCTAGACCGAGCTCGCCTAGACGGATCAGGACGGGATCGACCAGATGGCGGAGATCCGAGGCGCAGCACCCTCGGATCATTCATTACTTCCGCGGAGAAATTCCCGTCATCCTCGCCTCTAAACTCCCTTTCCGAATCGACGACCAGCAATCTCTGAGACAGGTCAAGACCGGCTGAATCCCTCAATGCTTCCCGATGCCTCAGATCAAAGTCGTCTAAGGGTTCACCGGTGGTCTCGTCCTGAGCAGGACTCGACGTCGTAGCGACCGCTTTCCCCTTTTCTTCCGCTGACAATCTCTTCCGCGGACACATCTACCGATGGCGAATGTATATATTCTACAAGTAAGTCTAGAGAGAGAAACTAGAGAGAAGGGAGAGAAAGAGTACCTGTAGAAACGGAGAAGTGATGAAAATGAAGAGAGGAAGGGTATTTATAGGAAAGGAAGAGGGGCGAGATTCTCGAAGGCATTAATTAGGTCTACTCGAGCCTAGTTGGGCCGAAAATCCGCCCGCAACTGCTCATATTCCGAGTTAAATGGGCTTCAATCCCCAAGAAACTTCTAGAGCCCGCGACTGTTCACATTCTCCTCCGAGCTCCGAGCTAACGACCATTAACGCTCCTGTAATGAACTCGAGATTGGCATTAACAGATGGGATGGGCCTCGAGCCGACGACCCGCGCTTGCGAAAGCAACCGTATCTGAATCTGCGAGTCGAAAGGCCGCTATTTGAGAAGATGACGCACCGCATTAATTGACCTGGTTATTCTATGGGCTAACTTAACGAAATCCGCTCCGATTAAGATTATAACTCGGCAGCGGATCTGGACGACTTACTGTAGGTGGTGGAATGTACTTCCTCACCAGGCCCATACAATAATGAGCTCAGCGCAAGCGAGTTCAGACCCAACAAAAGAGCTCTCTGGTAATCAGCGATTGATCGAGCTTAGTTTGGATAATCTCCGCAATTAACCGAGTTAAAGGTGTTAAGGCAAGGTGCTTGAGCTAGCGGGCCGATCAAGGCCCATTTGGTGAAAGCCCTCAGGAGCCACGATGAGTCTGCTAGGTCAAGGCATAACTACTATAAAAGGGAGAGAGGAGCTAACGAGAAAGGGATCCGAAATTACTCTCACTCACAAGGCGGCTAGAACTAGGGTTTTCACTCCTTTACTTCTTTTCCGACTTGGACGGCACGGCCGAGTTCCCCGCGAGACTCCGCCTCGCCTCTCACTTCCTTATTTGTAACCAAAATCTCTTATCAATAAAATCATACCTTTGACTCTAAATAGTAAGAAAACGTCTTTGAAATAACCCACCGACGAGTCATGTCACTCATTTACTAAACAGACCGAACTCGGTTCAAACAATCACCACCCACATTTTGCCTGAGAAAATCGATCAGATCAGGGGCCGGCTAAGACGAGATGGAGATAACTGTGGATTGGGGAGCAAAGAGAAAGAATCCCCCAATGTAGTTCCAGCAACCATGTTGGGGACAAAAACAGCAATCTTCTTGCCATTCTTGATAAGCTGCACTCTTGCAAACTTACGGATAGCAGAGTTAGGCTCCTATACATAAAGGAGAGTTTTTTTTTTGTTTTAAATGTGTTCAAGTATGGAGCATATTCTCTCTAGACAAAAACAACTTCTTTTTTGTTCTTCTCATGATAATGGTGATGTGGTATGTGTATATCTTCTATAATCAGTCTATAAAGTTTTTGTTATCCCTTTTATTTACATGTATTTGGGTTGTTGTAGTTGCGGACAGATGAGTCTTTGAGGAGTGAACTTGAGAAATTACAGCTTGCTATTGAGTATGTCTCTCATTCCTGGACAAAACTTGAGAGATTTGTGGGAATCACCCTCCTTTGCTTAGATGAAAAGGTATTGTGTCTTCACTCTATCACAAATGATATATTCCATCTGAATCTAATCTATTTTAGAAAAAAATGTTTTCGTTTACTCCTCTGTCTTCTTCTGTCTTTTTTTTTTTTTTAATTTTTTCATTTTGCATTTAAAAAACAAGAAGCTTGCTTAACAATTTTCCATCCTTTGCTTTGCTATATATAACAGGAGAAAGGCAGGCTCATATCAAGATTGCTGATGGTAAGAAAAGTTCTGTAGTCTTGGTATCTGAAGCTGCAAAGATGGACCAAATGAATCGAGCGCAGGGTTAGTATACTTCAGATTAACATTATGTGTCCATTGTTAGTTAACGTTATGTTCATTAGAAGAATTTTTAGTTCCGTTTTCTGATTCTTTCACTATATACTGATGACTACTTGGTGCCAGAGGAACTATTTTCCCCACTCCTCATACTTACTCTTATATTATCCTTTGATAATATTATTCAGGTGAAGCTGAAACAATACTGGCTAGAGCACAAGCAACTGCTAGAGGCCTTGCCATGTTATGAACTGGGGAAGTAAAACTGTAGAAGTGAGTTTTAACGAACCTAGATTGCTTATTTTATTCTTCGTAGTATTTTTTTACTCACTCTAGACAAAGGTTCCCGTGTCTTCTGGGACTTGCCAAATTGAGGTTGTTTTATGTCATATATATTCATGGGTTTATGCTTGTATTTTTAGCCGTCCAAATGTGATCTTATACCTATTACTGTACAATATTCAGGCTGCAAGCTTGAAATTTGCAGAGCAATAATAATTCAACCGTTCAGTAACATTGCCAAGGAGGTAAACAAATAGATTTCACGTGTAATCCCTTGGCATTGCTTGGGCTTTAACTAATGTTTAGTTTTTTTCTTTTGGTGGGGTTGTAGGGTGTGACAATGTTGCTTCCAAGTACGACTTCAAATCCTGTTTGCATGATTTCTCAAGATTTAACAGTGTACAAAAGCCTTGTGAACCAAGATCCAAAGAGAGATGACCAAGAGACATCAGCAATGGAAGGTGACTGGGAAAGATAATCAGAAGGGTCTAAAAAACGATCAGGCTCAACAACATTCGAAACAGAGAAACCAGGCCACACCGGTGAACCAGTAGTAGCCAGCCAAACCGAGAATGAGTGTATGAGAGAACATAAAATCCATCTTTTCCTGTTTTCAAAAAATGAGACATGATATCGTCTTCCCATGATATCGTCTTCCCTGTTTGAGCGGCATGAATATCATATGCTATTTGGCAAACAGAAAACATGTCTGAACATCTATTCTCTGAAAGTGTTTTCTCCAAATGATTTGGTCTGTACATTTACCTACGAAAGTCTGGGTTATTTGTGACCCATAACTTTGTTAAGTCTGGAAATTCCAGCGGGAAAAGAAACGTCGTCCCTTGACTGAGCAGAGAAGAACAGTACAGAAAAATGGTTGTCCTCTGGGTAAATCGACCGTGACAGAGATTTGATGATGTCATGACTGTCTTTACCTGAAATAGCTTAGTCCCTCCATATACGAGCTCCTATATTTCTCTCTTCACAGGCCTCTCCAAAGCCTCCAAATTATGTAGAGGAAGAATTTAGTTTAGCATCTCTTATTGTCTCGGTAGTGGTTATCAAAAGGCAGTGTTGATGAACTTGCATCACTTTGAATACATGTCACTGATACATGCATTTTGGAAAACTTATTACTGTATAAATCTAAGTGAACCTTTTAGTTTTAAATGTATATTATTAACTATTACTAAGGCTCCATGTATGAAACAACCCCGCACAACGACCAACAATAATATAAAAAACCTTGACGATAAATACAATCTCCATAATACGATCGTTACAATACAAAAATGATATAATTCACTCTTCAATCCCTGTCTCAGACCTCTCGATATACAAAAATGAGGAGATCAACTTCAAATATAAGTAAATTTTTCTTCTCATATATCAACAAGGCAGCAACAACATTCACAACCTCGCCCAGCGTGGAGCTCTGCTTTTAGGATGTGCCATACATTTTGAGTTAATATATGTCGACTTGCTCAACAACGAAAAAAACAGGAGTTGGCGACCTAACAATTACTCAGAATCAGACAAAACTTCAGATCAAGACCCAAATCTTTTGAAGCCTAACATTTTAAACCCACTTTTTATTCTTTGGTAGACCTATTTCGGATTTTTTTGTCCACCACAAGTAATTTTTAACAAAGTTCAGTAAAAATTCTAAAATAAATAATTTTGTAACTATATAACTAGATCTCGACCCGCACAACTGTGCGGATATTTTAAGACGAAAATATTTAAAATTATATAATATTTCTTCGTTTCAAATTAGATGATGTTTTAATAGATTTGTTTGTTTCAAAATATAAGATGTTTTGAAATTATAAGGTATATTTTGAATTTTTAAGGTTACTTTTAACTTTATTGGAAATTATTCAACCAAGAAAATTTTACTGTTTTTTAATACTTGGTTGAATGATTTTAAAATTATATCTTTAAAAATAATTTTGTAAGAAAATTTAAATTTCTTAATCTTTGTGGAATGATCCAAAACATCATATATTAAGAAACGAAAAGAGTAAAATTTATCAATAAATAAATATAATTTGATTCTGTTACTATCCAATTTTAAATAATATATATGTGGCTTATAATATTATTAATATAATTTCTAAATTTTTATTTTTGTAACAATTTTTAAAACCATTATTATGTAACATTACTAATTTATATATTTTGTTTTATTTCTAAATTTGAAATATATGTAAAAAGTAAATTAAGTTGGACCTACATAATACATAAATGTTTTTTTTGGGATACTGTTAAAAGTATTTTATATAATTTTAATTTTGTGTTTATAAATAAAAAAAATGATTTAATATTTGAATTATATTTTCTGATAGTTAAATTTTGATCAAATAATTTCTTAAAACTATTTATTGGTATTTCAAATTAAAATTAAAGATATGAAAAGATATTATAATGATGTTATATAAAATTTTATAAAATTTCTGAGGATGGTCAAAACTAAAAAACCACACATGAAGTGAGTCATGACTTCTATTTTACTATAATAGATTTTATAAATGTTTAGAGTTATTAATTTCTTTCAAAAATAATGTAATTTATTGTCTGTATAAATTGTTAAATTTTTAAATCTGAATTTATATCTTTTCTGTACACTATTTGATTTACGTACTAACAATTATATAAATAAACATTAATCAACTCCTAAACCTCAGCTTTTGAACATGAAAGCGATAATAACACTAATAATCGGTCAAATCATTACAAAGATAAGATATAAAAATATCAACACATGAATTCACCAATCATTCTTATATTAACCTAATAATTTGTGTGACTTTCACTGTTCCATTCATCTACCATTAGAGACAACACGGAAAAATAAAAATTAAAAAAATAAGACACATCAATAATGTACCTGGCTCTGCGCTTGTGCGGAGCCTATACCCCTAGTCATTGTAGTACTTTACATATATGTGAAAAAAATGAAACGACCTGTATACTGTTTTTGAAACTCTATTATTTATAATTTTTTCAAATCATTTCATTATGCATAATTGTTAACATTGTTGATTAAGATTTTATGATTGATAATATTTTTAAACTATAGATGTATTCTTTGATATACTGAGAACGTAATAATTGAGATTTTTTTTTTTAACAATCAAACTAATACGATAAAAAGTTAAAATGCATTTGAAAAAGTAGAAGAACATACCAGTTTACTGAAAAATATTGACGTCATTAGTTTAAATGCATCGTGTATGAGAGAATCTGCAACTTCAAACATTATTAAGTTTTTTTGTTTGTTTTGTTTATAATCTACAAAACATATTCAATTAAGATTTTGCTAGCCAAATTGGAGATTCCTTATCCATGTGGAGAAAATAGGCCAGTTAGCTCTTTGCACCACGTGCTAGGTTACCTGCTTTTATATTTTGAGTCTTGGGTACGTGATTTATCTCCATACTTCTGAAGCACTCTTTTAGTCTCTATATGTCTTCCAAGTATGTTACAATAACATGTCACTTTTAAGGTTCCAAAACCATTTCACTAGTTAAGAATAATATTTTCTATCGTCCAAATGAGAGTTTCAGTTTCCGCGTATTAGAGAAGACAAGCATTCTCTTATATTTTGCCGCCATCAATCCTTCAAATCTCTCTAAAGTGCTATACTAGCCCATACCTGGAAATAAATCATGTTCCTTCTAGAATCCATATGTAAGACACCATCGTACCACTTGATATGTTGTGCTATGTGTATCCTCCTCCTCCATGCTTTGCGACTTGTTGATAGATTTTTAGCTTGCCCCCTTGTTATTTGATAGGTCCTATTATTTATCATTTTTAGGCCATATTATAGGTTCCATTTGGAATCTATTATATGTGTCTAAGATGTGTTTTAGAGTATTTCAGGTCCAGGTACATTTTGAAACATTGTAGAGATTATGAAGCTTTCTAAAGCTCAAAAAGAGAAGATCTCGTAGCTGCTCATATTCAGCTAAGTACGAGTCAAAGAAAGAGTTTAGCGTACTCATGCCGCCAATCGACGGTCGACATGCAGAATCTCAATCCACAAGGCAGCCGACTTGAAACCCAAGTCACAAAAATTACAAAATTTCCCCTAGACAAGTTTTACCTAGTATATATACTCTTTACCAGTGTTTTATGCAGAGTGATGATTTTGACAGTTTTCATACTTTTCATTACAAACATAGTAGTTTAGTGTTTTTTTGGGGGAGAAGATCAAGACTCCTTCAAGCTTTGCATTAGAACCCCACTTTTCTATCACTAACCTTATGCAGTATTTTATGTTTATGATTATGTTCTGCTTAGCTATATCTGAGTAGTCATCTTGTTAGATTTAGAATTTATTAATGGTTTTGACGGATTAGCCAAACAATAGAATTTCTATGGTGATTATTAGATCTATCATCAGATTTGTCTTTATTGCATGTGTTCTAGATTAGCTACCTAGAACCTTGATATTAGGATATTGAGAATTGTGTGATTGCATGATCAGTACTTGAAATATCTCTGATGAACTTAGATTACTAGGAATAATCAAGAGAATTGTCTATTAACTATAAGTGAACCAATCGAATCTGATCGTTTAAGGCTTGATTAAGAAAGCCATTGATCGATGGTATTCACATAACATCGATCGACGGCTATTCCAATTTTGCATACGAATGTTGTGAATTATGAACTTAGCCATTGTATAGATATAATTATATTGACTTATTAAATTCATGTTCTATGATTGAAAACCCTTAGCGTCTATTGTGGGAACCAAAATTCACCTCTGTCAAGATTACGTAAATGAAGGAATTTAGAGTAAACCCCAATTTCCCAGAGAACCCGACTATCTGCGGAGCCGCACACAAGCAATCAAGAACACGATATGAATAAGTTAAAGAGATGTAAAAGAAAACGAGATTGAGAGCAAGAAGGATCTTATTCCGAATTTGCGTAAGAGTGGTACAACAAGAGTAGCCTTAGCTGCGTGAGCCGTCGCCGAGATTCCAAACCCTAGCAATCTAAGACTAAAACCCTAGTTGAGACGCAACTCGATAGCAAAAACATAAATATTCTTAAGTGCTAAGTTTGGTGGTGAAAGCTCTGAAAACTCGTCATTTGCTTCTGTCCTCTGCCTTTTGTTTATATACTCCTTTCCTAGGCGGTTTAGTCCTTCCTTTTCGCCCAGATTCAAAATTTATCGGGAAACTTCCATTTTTCTCGATCTTTCTTTTTTTCTGTGCAGAAATCTTCTATTTATCTTCCAACTTGACATTTATCTTCCTTCTGCGAGTAAATCTTAAAATCTTCATTGTATCTTTGGGCTGGATTTCGTTTAAAGTCGTAAGTGGACTTTTGTCGCGCTTTTGGGCTGTCCGAGCCGTTTTGCGATAAAAAATGTTTTACGATTTTAGATGAGATCGTTTCCTGACACGATGCCGTTTTATGGAACATTAGCTGCAACAAATAGGATAAGGCAAGTTAGAGGTGTTAGACTAAATAAATAACCGAAAAAATAAAGGTAAAAAGATGGTCCCCGGCAACGGCGCCAAATTTGATATGCTCAAATTAACCTTAAGCTACTCTCTCAAATAAGAGGTTCGATGGAGTACTTGAGGATCAAATCAACAGAGACCAAATATTACACTTTATTTTTATAGGATCAAAATTAAGCTAAAACAATATGGGGGTTTTTAAAAAGAAGAAATCGTAAATAGCAAGTAACAAATTGGTTTGGTTTCAGATTATAAAAGAGCTAGGTTTAGGGTGTTTCATTGGGATACTTAGGATCATGAGCTACACAACTATTCAGGAAATAAATACGAGCCAAACTAGAACTTGAACAACAAGATTAAATAAACCCATTGTCGTGGTATCTACCAATTTATCAAACAATCCTAATACCTAAACTATCGTCTGAATCAGAGACTGATGACAAGCATTAAGATCAGATTCAATTGGTTCACAATTTTCCTTAACATAAGCTCTCGTTGGCTAGGACAAATCGCCTATCTATGCTTTTTCTAGCAACCTAAAACACTTTTGATGATTAAATTAAACCTGATATCCGATGTTGAATGGCCAAATTAACACAAGCAGTAAGTATAGTAATAGATAGAGATATCAAAGAATAACAATTCTATTTGTGTCTAGCTCATTAGTCCATGTTCCCTAACACCCGAAACCTAACAAGCGACTACTCAGTCATGAACAGAGAAATCACAGAGAATAGAGATGAAGAAAACATGTCTGAATCAATAAATAATAAGCAAAAGGGTTTAGAACTCTTCTTCAAAGGTTGTAGATATTCTTCTCCCTCAAGGTTACAAAGTATGAAATCACAAATCTCCAAAAGCTCAAATCTGGTTTCTGGTGTAAAAAGTAGCGTAGAAAATAATAGAAAAGAGAAAAATAATATATATGGAGGCTGTTGGCGGCTGGGAGAGAAAAATAGGAAAATTAGGGCAAATCCCGAAATATGTTGTAATTTCCTTAAAAATCTCTACCGCGGGAGTAGGCAGTTCAGGCTGTTCCGCTAGGATTCTCCGCACGGAAATCTCCAATTTGTACTCTTTTCTGACTCTTTTACTCCAACTGGTCCATCTCTTACCCAATGCAACTTCAGACCTGTAATGACTTAAAAAGGACTAAAAAGACTAGATAAAAACTCAAAAACACTTTAGAAAATATTGTTAGAATATGCTAAAAACACCATATATCACTCAAGTTGGTAATGACGTAAATTTTCATGGTTCATGCTTGATCTCCGGAGTCTATATGGTCAAGTTTGAGGAAGAGTGTAAAAGTAAATAGTAACTTGTATGAAGAGTGACTCGTGTGCTGTAAAGTGATATATTTTTTTTAGCATCTTTAATAAACCAAGTTTGTCTGGCTTCACTGAAAAGTTGAAACTACTTCGAATCTTTTGTAACCACAAATATAAAGATTAAGAAAATTAATTTTATTTCTCTATTTCGCTCTTTTCCAGATTTTTCACAATTTCTTCATCTTCTCCTTATTGTTCTGCATTATATTCAATTTAATCCTAGATTGTTTTAAATAGTGGAAAAGACGACATATATGAGAGCAGTAAATCTCCTATATATTAAATGAGAAGCATTATAACATTTTAGTTATGACATGTGTTATCATTAGAATGTTTCTCAAAGTACTTAGAGATAATAATGGTCTATATAAATATATAATATACTTTTTATTAAACTGACCATAAGATTATTATTAATATTCTTCATTATTTCCTTAAATGAGAGCTACGTAATTACCTAATATAGTTAAAATATATATTATGACAATTAATGGTTTGAATAAGAAATATTTGATAAAAACTTATGTAGCCTCTATTCTTTTTTAAAAATTTCTATTGTGAAAATAAATTAAATAATCACATTAACTATATAATAAAAATTGATATTTTCATATATTTTATATTTTTAATTTTGTAAAACGACTATAAATTAATATAATCTTTAAAAATTCCTCTTAGAATATTTTTATTAATATTTTAAAATTTTTTATAACAAGATACAAAGGCTTATAAAATCAATAAGTAAGAATATCATTTAATAGATATTCATATTGTATATATATATATATATATATATATATATATATATGTTTTTAATGACATTAAATTAAACTATATTCCATCTAAAATGCTTAAAGAGATTAACTTAAAAATTTATATTGAACAAATATTGTGAACTTAATACTTTTGTTTCAGACTTTGCAATGACTTTTTAAAAAATATTATGAATTACTATAAATATAAACATCCATTGAAATTTATGTTATCAATGGTATAAGTTTTTCGTTATAAAAATATATCAATGCTCATAAAACTGTATAAGTATGAAGTTTCATTTAATAGATAGCCAAATTAAAATGTATACTATGTATAAATATCTATGTTAATATCATTTATTAGTTAAATGTACTTATATAAATTATAAGTGGTTATAAATAAAAAGTGTGATTTATTTATTTATTTATTTATGTTCCTCCATTAATTTAATTATAGACATAATAGTTACTAATTTCTCAACTATTTAATATATATATATATATATATTCATTAATATATAATATGTCAAAAACACAAAATAAATAAGTTCTTTTGGACCTCACTGAAAACCTTAGCCATCAAGAGACAAAAAAGAGAGATTTATTATTGTTTCAAGCCGATGGTCGGAGGCTTCTACAGCTCCAACATCGACTTTTTAGTTTGTTTTACTTCTTTTAATTTCTTTGATTTATTTTGTTTCTGGTCACTTGATTTGTTTGATTGCCAATTTATTTTGAATCTGACAAAAGTTTTTTTTTTATTGTTCTTTTATATGTTTTTTTCAATAGATTTGGAAAGACAAAATCTTTGGTTCAGTTGAACCGTTTGGAAAAGGTAATTGACAGATCTATAACGGATGGTGATGACGGGTCTTAACGGCTTCAATCGTTGATCATTCTTCTTTTATGGTGATAAAATTCTTGTTGCAAACTATGGTCACTACGAAAGATAGTATGAAATTATATTGAACCGTAATCTTTTTGACTATGTTATTATCTAGAGTAATATAAAGAGTTGTCTTTTTCGGTGGCTCCTACTGGAGTAATAAAAAGAGAGTGACAATCGTTCTCAACTCAGTCTGAAGTGTGGTGTTTTTAGATTAATACGAAAATTATTTCTCTTGAGATTCAACTATTCCAAAAACAAATATGAAGTTTTTATATAAAAATATTTAGTCATCCATATGTAAATAGATGTAGTAGTTTACTTTGAGTTCCTATTGGTGTATTCCTTCTCATTATTTAAAATTTTTTTTCGTACAAGCTTAATAATACAATATAATTTAAAATAATAATATATCATCCTATGTAAGGCGAGGATCTTGATCTACTAGAATCCAAAAACCAAAAACGCCTAGTTAACAACCCCAAACTAATTCTCTACTGATTACAAGATTTCGGGTTAAAGTTCGTACAAAGTCTAGTAACATGAAATTTTGAAACAAAATTATAAAGTAAGAAATGTTGTAGCATGTCAAGATGCTATGTAACATCCCAAGATATTAACAAAACCTTATTTAGAGAACCGAAATGAAGAAAGTCACCTGATCATGGAAAAGAAAGAATGAATGAAACTAGAATGTTAAAAAAGTATTAGTAGAAGGAATCTACTGTCCTGAAGCTTGACCTTCCTTTGCAGTCTTGTACATATCATCAATCACATTCTGTCAATAAAGAACACATATTTTACTATTAATATTTATTTATTTTTGGGTAAAAATTTACTATTAATATTTAAAGAAGCTGAAAACCGTCTTAAAAGATTTATTACCTCAAAAAAAAAACGATTTATTACCTGATAGTATTTAAGCAGTTGAGGCCTCTTCTTCTTGTAGGTAGGAGTAAGAAGGTCTCTTTCAATGTCGAAAGCCACGGGTTCCAAATGAATAGCTCTAATGATCTCAAAACCCTTCAACTACACAGATGCAGAGTATTATAAAGACAAGAAAAGACGGAAGACAGCTTTAACAAAGAAGAAGAAAAAAACCTTTCTTTCTTTGGCTGTCTTAACCAGTTCTCCAAGTACAAATGCTTTTGCTTTTGCGTTTTGACATATAGATTCAAAGTCTCCACTAATTCCATTCTCCTCGGCCCAGCGTTCAAGAGTTTGCTGAGCCGGGTTAGCGACTGCGATAAGGAAAGACTCAAAGCTGTTCCCATACACCCATATCTATATATAACAAACATATATGACGATGATAATGATGATGATGATAAAGAACATGTCAGAAGACTTATAAATCACTGAGCTAAAGTTCTGACTCACTGATTCAATGGCTTCTACTTGACCATATACGTTTTCTAAATTCTCAACTGCAACGTACTCTCCTTGTGCGAGTTTGAAGATGTTCTTTTTCCGATCAATTATTTTCATGCTTCCATCTGGTTGCCACTCACCAACA